CTGGTGCAAATTACTGACCTCTGTCATCATTTTAAGTGGGGGAACTTGCACAATCGGTGGCTGACTAAATACTTTTTTGCCCCACTGTACATTTTTGATACTTTTCTAAAATTTGCCAGTAATACAATTTGTGTGTAGTAATTTTTTTTTTCATAGTAAGTTTCTTTTATTCTAACAAATTCTGTCACATCTAATACAACTAACATGATTTTCAGCTAGTAGTAAAAGGTTTGATAACTATAGCAGTAATACAATTTGCAAATCCACAGGAGAAAGGAGAAGATGTCCAGGAAGCAAGCAAGATCCTGTCAGAGCAATATTGTTTTAATCTGAACCAGCTTGTCTTGTTAAAGAGCAAAGGAAGCTTTATTTTATTTTATGCAGGGGTTAGAGGGGTATAGTCGCTGCTTACCTTTCTGTAAAAGTCACAGCATACCACTGTTTATACCACTTAACAGGAGTATAACTACTGTAAGCATTTTTACTAAAATGTCAAAGTTTTCCTCAATTGAACTTTTCACAGTCGCTCTAATTAACTGACATGTTATCTCACATGATGTCCTTCAGGGCTTATTTTAGGTTCATTAATACATGTTGCCAGTACTCACAGATCTTTACAAAATGAACAGACTTGATTATGTGCGAGTGGACCTGGCTGTTGCCCTCTCACATGTATTTACTGTTAGTTTTTCCCTCACCATGTCTAAATGTATTGTCATATCTCCATCCTAAAAGTTCTATTTTTTCTCTTTAATCTGTGATTGAGTGTAGTTTCCTTGTTTGTTCATCAACTATTCCAAAGGGAGGTTAAATACAATTTGGCATATACATATGTGTGTGGCAGAGTTCATGCTATTTCAGCAGCAGCTACATGGCCCTCATGCATTAAGATCTATGCTATTTTTTTCTTGCCAACCATAGCAAAGGTGTCAACACATTACAACAGACTGACAAGCAGCATAGCTAAGAAGAGATTGTATTACTCAGAAACTCACAGAACTTTGAACTGCTGTTCGTCATTGTAATGCTCAACCAATTAGAAGAAAGTGTGTCTAAAAAGAGGATGCTAAAACAGGTTGTGGCTGAACTCGGGGGTTTTACTGAGACCTATTATAAATAATGTCCAACAATAAAAAGATTAAACAGAGCATCAAGTTCTATGTATGTTTTATTCTATGTGTATGTTTTCTGTGTGCATTTGTTACAGATAACTAGAGACAGGGCCCAAATGCAGGAGACCTCTGTTTCATCTAAAACCACAGAAACACAGAATCTAAAAGCTGGGAAAAAAAACAAACCTGGAATCCAAAAAAGAAGAGGCACAAGGTGGACCTTCAAAAAGCAAATAGACATTCTGATATCTGATAACAGGAAGACTATATACAACACAATATACTCATAGAGCAGACAGACTGAACAGACCGGCGTGAGAACAGTCAAGCTGAGGTGAATCTTATAAGGACAGAACAAACAATACGTTTGTTCTGTAGGAAGTAGGAATTAAAACCAAAGAGAGGCAAACGAGGACGCCAGCAAAGTAAAATACAAATTATACAAATGTATAAATAACATTAAATATGAAGTAAAAATGGAAACAAGAAATGGCAGAAATAAAAATACCATGAAACACAAAGAGGCACAATAATAAATTTGACCTTGTTTAACCTTAAAAAAGAGCTCAGAGGTCAAATAAGGTGACAGTTAGAATCCCCACATCATTCCCCTATATGCTGTCAGTACAACATTGTACTTTAAGAAATATAGTTTTAAATAGCGCTATAGAACATTGATATCGCTTTGAACCATGGTCAAATCTGATGTGATATTTTTCATCTTTTACCCATACACACAGCATGTGTTTGAATCATAATTTCTAAGTTATAATTTCTAAGCCTTCTGTCAGTTTTTGACCAATAAATCATAAAGGTGACCATGAAGATCTTGGTGGGTGTAAGCCAAATTTTAATGGATTTTTAAAATGACCCCACTCTACACCCCTATACAGTTTTATTAGAAACTTAGATAGAAACACATTTTTAAAAAACCCACAACAGTAGCTTTCTGACACCAAAAGAGAGGTGCTGTTAGGATTTTATTTCCTCACTTCAAAAAGAAAAAAGCTCAAGAGAAAAGCTCAACCTTAAAAAGAATGAATGCGCTCGGTAGCTTAACAACTCTCCTAGAAACCCACAGAAGTTCACAAACGTACATGATGACAAAATCGTTTTAGTATAAATGCAAAGTATAGAAATAGAGGCTAGCTACAGTATTAGAATGCAGAGTTGTTCTCCCACTTGTGTGGTCTGCATATGTTTAGGTTTTATGTGAGGTGTTAATTTTTTAAAGAAAGATTTCATAATCTACTGCCTACGTATCTGTTCAAGCAAACAAATCCAACTTTTTATTCATGGTGTGCTTTTAGAGAACATGAATAAAATAAATTTGTGCAGTCCAAAGGCATGTGCTTAGTGGGGATAGGTTAACTGGAAACTCTAAATTGCTCATAGTTGTGAATGTGAGCACAAATGGTTGTCTGTGTCTATGTGCTAGCTCTGTGACAGACTGGCCACCTGTCCAGGGTGTACCCCGCCTCTTTCCCTAAGACAGCTGGGAAAGGCTCCAGGATAAGCGGAAGCAAATAGATGGATGGATGGACATCACAAAAATGACCAGAAATACAATGTGGATTTTAAAATGGTTTTGTTGTGATTGTTCTTGTTTTAAAGCCAGCAATATTTAAGAAAAAAACTCCCTAATTTAAAATTTGTTTTGTTTGTTTGTTTGTTTGTGTGTGTGTGTGTGTGTGTGTG